CCAAATGATTCTATGATTCTATGATTACATGTTTTTAAAAGGCAGTGGGAAAAATTCAGAGTCAAGATAGGTGATGTCCAGTTTATGCTGGTACAGACTTAGCACCTGGTAAGTCACACCTAAACCAAGAATGGATCAAAAATGAGGACTGAAGCTGGTAACATGCCTCTAGCAATTTATGTGTATAACAAGAAGTTCCACAGGATAAAATAAATAGGAAGATACTTAAGATACCAAGTCAGCGAGGTACAGAGAGTCAATTAAAAGTGGACAGTTTGTGATGCTATTTAAGTGAGCCAGAGTTTACATAATAATATGTGCTTGATCACATTTTCTTAATATAAATTTACTGACCTAGGTATTGACTTAGTTGCATCAGTTTCATGGATTTAATCCAAGCCTTTCGCTACTTAGAAGATGAAGTTTAACATGCAGCAGAGAATAATTTTCCTTTAATTGAGGATTTGTACGATGCTGCAAACTGTGACTGCATGACCAGAATTTAGACAGGACAATCATTGTTGCCAGCTCTCTCACACCCCGCCTGCATGAATTTCTAAATGGCACCCAGGTCTTTACCAGTGTAGTTTGATGAGATGGGACATGTAATGTAGTACTGGGATTGTGGTGGAAAGTCCTCAGTGGAAATCTGAGGGGAAGCAGGTGGTATGGAAGCACTGGCAAGGCAGTTTGCCTGTGACATGCGAGGGGCGTGAAGCTGTGAAGCAGCAAAAACAAGTTGCTGTCACCTCTGTGAATTCCCTGTCAGAGCCAAAGCCTTCCTAATTTTACAGGAGATCAGGAGCTAACTTTATCCTTTATGAAACGATGATGAAAATGTAGGAGTACCTCAAGAACAGAGAGACAGTGGAGCTATGTTTCAGTAAGTGTTTGTAACAAGTAGGAGTCCTATCATCTGTGTTCTCCACAAAGCAACACTGTGAAGGCAGAAACTTTTTTTTTTCTCCTATCAAAGTGAATATGATATTTAGAAACACTGATAATTCTTTACTGTTCACGTATGACAATTCCAGTTGTAAGGAAATTATGATTGCTTTACTCTGTTGGCTTCCAAGTAGCTTACATACCCTGGAATAATGAAAAAATTATCCTTTTTAATGAGTTTAAGATGCACCTTTACTTAAAAAGCCTTTTTTTTTCAGTTTATGAAGACTGAAACACAGAACTGCTATAGCAGTAGATACATTATGGGAAAATAGATTGTAGGAATATAATTACGATAGGTCCAGAGCAGGCACAGTGTTTAGGTGAGCCGTAGGCATGATAAAGGAGAAAATTTGAGCCTGACCTACCCTTCGGTATGGACTGTGCTTTGTCCTTGGCTGTGAATGTAGTTTTGTCCAACACTAGGCCAAGAAGTTGGCTATGGGCCCTTCCTAAAATGTCCTAATGTTGCATGCCAAATGGGCAGATGGGAATGGGAGTGTAAGCTCAAAATGCTCTTAAAAGATGACAAATTTGTCATGGTGAACTACAGTAAGTGACATAGGCATGTGGAGCTCAGGGAACACCACCTCACTTAGTACATAGTCAAAGGACAATGGAAGTATTTGGACTTCTAGAAAAAACAATGTATTCTATACAGTATTCAAAGTCAGAAGTGGACTAACTGAAATTGCTACAACTAGTGAAAAATGCTATAGCATACCATCTTATACCAATACAAACCCAATATACCGTACTCAGAAGGAATATGCTTCCAAAAACTGACAAGTGATTTCAGATGTGCATCCAGCTGAAATATTCCTTTTACAACATGTCTGGTTCTTGCCCTGCGTATCGTCTGCCTTCTCAGCTGTGAGTTCTGCAGCTCAAAATTTGTGCAGTTGGTTTCCACTTTTTGCTGCTTGGACAAACACAGGGGTCTGGTGAATGAGTCCATGGACAACAAACAGATTGGCCTACACAATTGTTTTCTCTTGAAAACATTGCAAACTCTCCAGATGTTTACATCTTGGATGCAAGAACCAGATGTTTTGGAATACTAATTGTTTTATAAACTGAAAAAAACTATAGATACCTCGCTAAACAGTTCAGTTCTTTGCTTATGAGCGATTATTCAGAGAACAGTAAAATAAATACACAAAAACATAAAAGTAGAAAACAGTTTTCTTTGGGAGTAAATAACGGGTCTAGAGCCAGCTCACGGAATCAATGTATGGCCTGAATGGCAGGGCTGCAGTCTATGAATCTCTGCAAGGAGAAGGGCAAGGGATCGTCCCCTAAGGCTCTTCAGTAGTAACATGGCTGCTGCACACCTGCAACTGGTGATTGCAGGTTGCAGTTCTCACTTATGGTCGACAAGCTTTAACATATTAGGGAATAAGTCAGGATTCATCTAGCATGCACTTAACCCAGGACCTGCAAATTCCATCTGTCTCACTTATAGCTATGGAAGAACCCCTGACACTCTCTCCCCTGTGATCAAAGGATTTGGTCTTTAAAGGTGGTGAATTCTTCCTGTCTCCCTTTGTAAGCAAAAGGGGACTGTGCTCCAATGTCATATTGGGATGAGATGATTCTGTGAGATCTGGGTGTCTAATGATCTGTTGACCCCTGCTTTCTATGCAAAGGAAATGCAACCGCATGGGTTTCATGGGAGCCGTAGCGCATATGATCCTATGGACTATGAGGGAATCGGGAACCTGCGACGCTTCAGCCTGAATCTTGAAATCACTGCAGATGCAGCCTTAGGGAATGGAAGTAGGAGGCAAGCTAAGGCATAGAACCTTGCCTGCCTTAGCCTGCACGTTTAGCAGGCTTGTACAACTGTGTAAGATAACCAAGTGATGGTCTGTGGTGTTCTGCTTGATTTATCAAGAAAATAGATCTGAATGAATGATGTAATCTTCATAATCCAGATGACTAAATTCTTCTGTTGAGGGAGAAGGCCTTTAGCAGTGTTTATAATGCTAGAAAAATTGCCTGAATTTGAGTGAGTTTTCTTGAAAAAGGACTGCTTTTTCTATCCTTGCCTGCCAGTTATAGTCAAAATGTGTTCATTGGAGAAGAATATTGGAAGCTCAAGACATCTGGGAATTGAATAGGCAGAAATAGGCTTGAAAGCAATGTCTGAAGGCTATTATGCTCAAAATCCTGTTTATGGGCAAATACACAGGATTTATATACCTATAAAGCCAAGAACTTATTATAAGTGAAATTGTAACAGTTGATTCCAAGAATCATTATTAGTCTAGATCTATTTATTACAGAAAAAGAAAGAATACTTCTATGCATAAAAAGTTTCAATAATAATGGTACGGTTAAAATTGTTACACACTTATTTCTTAGTTCCTATCCCTTTTCCTTGTGTTTTGCTCACCTTTCCTCTTCTCCTCTGGGTCTTAAGGTCAGCGATTTCATTCCGATGCCTGGGGGGATTACAGATGTTGCCAGTGTCTGGAGTCTTGCTGGGAGGAACCTGATGTTGGTGTTAATGGTTTCTTCTTTGTCACTCTTAGGATCCACTTTGAGTCTTTTTTGTATATTTGCTAGCACAAAGCATTAGAGATACCCTGAACAGGAAAGGGTCTTTATCACACAGAATGTACACCAGCCCTGACTAACTAATTCCATGTATCTTTGCATTTACTGCTCTTTTAGAGGAAGTGTTCATTTAGGCTTAGTTGAAAATAAACCAGAACTGTTCTAAAAGTCATTCAAGTGCACTCATTTGCCAAGGCAAATAGCTTCTTCATGTAAAACCACTCAGATTATCAATAGAGTCTGTCAACACAGGAATCCATGTGTCTTGAACATAATTTTCTGAAGTGAAGGTCTTCCTGAGTATTTAGAAAATAACACTGTAGTGATTTCTTTTTTTTAAAAAAAGTCTGTTGTATGTTTGCAATTCATCAGATATTATCCTTGGTACTTATGGATCTATATTATACTTATATAGATGTGGATATTCACAGTTGGATATTCACTAATACCCTTAAAAGGATATAAAGAAAGTGAATGAGTATCTCAAAGAGAGACTGAGGAGAGATGCTAAGAGAATTTTCAGAAATGCAGTACTTTTAAGAAAATAAGAACCTAACAAAATAAAGCTTGTAGTCTTTATACAGGCAAGTCTTGTTCTGTTCTAGTAGTTTTTACATTGCATCGGTATTGCTGGGCTTAAATGATTATCTGATATCACTGATACCAGACAGATATCAGACAAAATTTTATCTTAGTAGAAGGTGCTGGATTAAATTCAAAGATAAAATGTGAATGGAGAATGAAATGAGACAAATCGTTGTTGGGCTATTTTATTGAGTTGCACTTCTAAAAAACTCTGTCTGACCAAGTCTCCTTTTTTAATAGGTATTGGTTTGCTTTGAAGTATGGCTGCCAAGCTGCATTTAAAACAAATAGCAGCAGAGATGCATCTGAAACAAACCCTCTCAACTGCATTCAAAAACAAGCCGTTGATGTAGTGACTGATATTAACATGCTCAGGGTATTCAAGACTTTTCTTGAGACCACACCACAACTTTTTGTCCAGATTTATATCTTCATGGAACATGGCAAAAATAATTTCTATCAATGTGAGTCTGCCTTTCTCCTTAATTTGCAAGTTGAGTATCTTACCTAAAAAGATAATTCATGTGATTGGATAACATTTTAAACATACCTTGGAAAAATACACTCCACTGTATTATTACTCTGCATTTAGTTAGAATTTCTGTGTAGTGGAAGATCCATTCTGCTAAATCCGTGAGAAGAAAGATTTCACTATAACGTCATAATATCTAATAGAAACATAATGATACATCACTTGAAAATAAGCTGTTGAATACAATTTGTGTATAATTTGCAGAGCCGTTTGTTTTGTGTGCTTTTGCTTACAGTCTCTTAAAACTGCTAACTGGGCATCTTGAAATCAGTAATGTATTTAGAGCAGCCCTGTGTGCTGTCACTAGCATTATTCATGTTACAGATGAGGGACAGAGTCAGAAAAAAACTAAGGATATGTCAGCATTGCAGAGTGCAATATGATTAAGAGATACTGGTTCAAGTCGCAGAAGCAAGACTGCAGCTGTACCATTTCCAGCTCTAAAACTAGTAGGATTATTAGCAAGATATTGACTTACTCAAGGTTGGAATTTATCTAACCAAATGGAGAGACCTGCACTGCTGTCTAGTGTTCCTTCATAGTCCATGGAGTCAATAGATACTCAGACAAAATGGTCAGAGGAATCTCATCTTAAATATGACCATGTGAAGGGTCAAGCCTTAGTTGTAGATTTATACATTATAGACGCGCCAGAGTCAATATCAGTTGCTGAAACTTACATTTTTATAGGCTATTTGCAATACTTTGGGAATTTCTAACTCATCTGTGTATGGAGGTGGCAAATATGACACACAGCTTAGGTGAGATCATTAATGGCCAGAGGCCAGGCAGGACAACATAGGCATACCAAGATGCCTAGATTTAGGTAACTAAACTGAGCCTTAAAGTTAAGGTGACTTGTTCAGGTACACAGAGGAAATATATAATTGGTATAAAGAAAGTGTTAAGAAAGCAAGAAGTTGTCCAAAAGTTCATTCAGAAATTATAATGTAAAATGTCTTTTTCTTTGGTCTAACATTTTTCTTTGTGTTTTGTTTAGATGCTGCCATTATTATGTCTTTTTGTGGTATCACCTTTTCAGTCATTGACTATCAGGTATCATTACGAAAATCTCTGCCTGATAAAGATGAATTTCATGTGCTTCCCAAGTTAGTGTATCTCTTCTATAAACTGCTTACCATCACTTCTTGGATACTCAGTATTTCACTGATCACTCTACTAAGTTTTAGAAGTTCTGTAATTCTGCTGATATTTCTTTGGATCTGTGGCTTCACCTGGACTTTGAAACAACATACGACATTTTGCAAATCTAAGAAGATGGAATATCTGTACAGAACTGTTGTTGGAATAATTCTAATTTTTACCTTTTTTAACATAAAGAGGAGGAAAACAAAAGTTTGCATTTCTATTTATTATGCTACTCATACTGTTGTAACTCTAGGTATTTTGTTTGTATATATGTTCTGGAAACCTTCCATTATGAAGGAAATACATTTTACAATTGTGACCATCCTAACTATTCTTAGTCTGGTGTTAGGTATTATTTTTCTTGTTGTTTATTACAGGCGTTTTCATCCCACTGCTTATGGCAGACCACAAGCATGTTCAGACGAAGTTGATGGAGAGGCAGGACAAAAAGATAGAGTGAAAATTGGTAGATTTCAAAATTTCATAATGCAATGAACAGTATAGAATTTTTTGGTGCAGACTTCAAAGCAAATACTTGCTGGACAGTCTGTTTCTCTGTCATTGTTTCTCATGTATCATCACTGTGTAGTACATGATGGAACAGAGTTATTGGCTCTGAATAACTGTTGTTTTCTGTGATGCTGTACAAAGCCTTTATAACATGAATATTTCTCTATGTGCTGGTCAAAGTTACTTTTGAAAAAGAAGCAATTTAATCTAGCCATCAAACACAATCCACTGTTTCAGTTTTTAGCAACGCAAATAAAACATAGGAAAAGCTAAAAGTTAATCAAATGAAAGCTGGCATTAAAACCCTATTCTATTCATTTATGTTGATTCTGTTAAAAACAAGGCTTGCTTTTCTTTTCTTGCTGGAAAGAAAGAGGAGCGCATTTGAAGTAATTGAGGGCAGTGATCAGTTATCTGCTTCTCCCTATTAGTGTAAGAGCTGCAGTTCTTCTTTAGATAAGCATAGTTACAAACCATACTACCTTCCCCCTAAATATCTCCTGAAGAAGAATAGCTTTGATTTATGGCTCAATCACTGTGTTACCACAGAAAATCTGGGGAGATATTTTCAAGCATTTTATCTTCTCGGTGTTTTAATGACTCCTTCATTGGTTTTGTTCTGCTAATCTTTCACACAAACTTCTGTATTTAGGGGTGATCCCAGCTTGTTGTTCTGGATTATAATAGCAGTCTGAGTGATTTATGGATGGCAACAGGAGCCTTGCATATAAAGGAAGAACTATCTTCCTTGAAGCTTTCCTCTCCTTTAAGCTATAAGATATAATACTTTAAATGCTGGTTGCCACTGAAATAGGAGGTTATGCAAGGTGTGCAGTGGCGCAGCTTCTTTTGGTTTTGTCACTGGAGAAAATAGAAGCAAATGTTGTGATGCATTGCACTCAATGGGGGTGGGAAATGATGGGTGATCAGCTTGTCCATCAAGATTTTTTGGCAGAAGGCAGAGCGAAGTTAGACAACATTTCAGTCCTGTGTTCAAATGCTAAATCAAAGCAAAGGAAATAAGGCTGATAGCTACAACTTCTTCAGAAATAAAATCTAAGGGGAACTCTTTCAGAGTTGCTGTGTTTTAAATCTAAATTATGAAAACTGGGGCTCATTCTCTCCGCTCCTTTCCCCTTCCAATAATTCACATTTGCAGTTAGAGTAGCCACAGGTAAAAGGACGAAATAGGGTTTGAGAAAAAAGACTAAAGATAAGAAAAACAGATTAACTTTGCCAGGAACCCAATCTGTTAGCATTATTGATTGACGGAAAACTTCCCTGAAACTTTAGGGGAAGGGCTGATGCTTTGTTTGACAATTAGGATGCTGAAGAGCTGTGTCTTGCACCTTTTGTGTCAAAGTGCAGACTGCCTTTTTCTTGTTACCCTTCCAGCCTTGGCAGAGCTCAGGGAAGTTTCTAAATGTGTTTCTTTCTTGTCCCATATCCATAGTTCTATTTACCAGGCCAACCACTTAAATCTCCTTAATCCTATTCAAGGAAATTAATTTCTAGGTGCATAGATTGGACTGAATGATCTGCCTTTCTGAGGATACACATGAAAAAGCAGCATGGTAAGAAGAGTTTCTTTCTAAAATCCCTCATTTCCACTTAGGGATAACTAGAATATAGGTCCAGAAGTTAAGACATAAAAAAGCACAATCCATGAGACTTAAGCAATAGTTTTCCTAAAATGAATATATAAAACAGTACCTTCACTTCTCTCTACTCTGGAAAAGAAATTTCCAGATTTGTTTGCCCTGGAACGGCTCCTTAGGTAAGAGAAAAAGCCCAAGGCTCCATCCTGCTTCATGCACCATGATTGCCCTAAGTTCTGTCTCCTTTATCTACAGAGTATTTATTACTAGTGATGGTGCCCTTGGCAGCAAAATGCATGCCTGGTTTTTGGCTGAATGTACTCCTACTTTGGTATGAAAAAATAGGATCCTAAATAGTGAAGACTATCCCTGTATTGCTTCCCACATTTTTATTGTTTGTTCATCTGAAATCCTGAGAAGGCGCTAGGGTAAGGTAGGGTGGAAAAGGGAGAATATTATCTCTATCTTGCAGAAAATTACAAAATTTTTTCTAACCATTATTTGGAAGAAGACCTCAAAATTTGTATGTTATCTGAGAAGCAGATCTCTGGGGAAATAGGAGCTTCTGAGAAGTCCTAGTGTGGGAGCTTCAGCCCTGGGACCTCCAGGTTGTCTGCCTGCTGCCAGATGCCAGAAATCTGGAGCCTGAATTGCTCTGGAGGAAGATTAGTTTCTGGTGAAACAAAAAAAAAATTGTCCTGGTGTTTTTTTTTTTTTCTTTCAGTGAACTGACAAATTCCAAATAGAAGTATTTCATTGCCATCTCTCTGGCCAACTCCTAACATTCATTATCTTTCATGAGAGAAAAGCTGAATGTTGTGCTGCCTGCTGTTGTTCTCCTTATGTCTCCTGGTTCCCTCTTCTATGCCACTGAGAAGACTGTTATACTGAAGTTGAGTTGGTAAGAAAGGCATCTAGGTGGCTGTTCACATCACACTAATTCAAATACACACCAAACTCAATTACTTAAGTTTCAATCCCTATTTTATGCTTCTGAGTCCTCGTGTATATAAATTTAGCCATATCCTGAAGCTGGGAAATGATCCTTTGGGAAATCACACAGATTCTTTTCATAAAGCTTCAACAAATCTTTATCATCCTGCCACAGATACTGTAAATGTCTCCAGTCATCAGAGGGCCTCAAGAGATGGGAATTCCTGTTAGCTTGTCCCCTGTTCCCTGTAGACTTTTATTTATTTATTTTCAATGTTAACATCCTCCGTTTCTTCTTGACCTTGAGTTCAAGATTTTCACTTGATTCCCTTCATTTTCATAGTTATGAGAATGTCTTCTCATTTATTTAGTCATTCTAATTCAGAATCACTGTAGCAGGGAGGAGAAGGAAGCACATGAATTGACTCTAGACACATTTCCTATCATCAGTGACCAGTTCAGACTAAACAAACAAAGCCCCACTTCACCTAGGTGTAAAGTTCAAACAATAGACTGCATACATATCCTTTCTGTTCCCTGACTACTCTTAAAATTCAGCTGCCACTCAGTTCATGCATTGTGCCTGACCTTGTCATTTTAATCTAACTGCAAATTGAAAACAAATGGGTTTTTTTCTTTTTTTGTTGAGTATGTCCATTACATCTTACAAGAAGTATTTTAATAAGTTAAATAAAAATAATAAACAATTTCTTCCTGTTTTGACTACTGTCAGACCTGGGTAAGAGGGACAACAAAAAGATTGTTTTAATTATCCTACTAATATTCAACGTGCCATTTGATGGCATGGGTGAGCTCACCTGATGTACCACAGATAGCACTGATTTATGAAGCCATAATTGGGTTTCCAATAAACATTTGTCAAAATAATGCATTCATTCAAACCAAAGCCTTCTTTATTTATTCATATAAAAGAGCACTTAACTTTCAACAAAGAATTGCCTGCCATCAAAAACACTCCATAAACGGGGGAAATTTATGAAGACACAGTACCAGAGGGTGATCAGTGGAAGACTAAAGTTCACTTTAACCCTTCAGAGTACTGAGCTCCACCTCTTGCTTGTTACCGGTACTATACATATTTCTTTCTAAAAGCTCCAAGTCCAAACATTAACCTTTGTATACTTAGACATTAAATACCAGCTCTTTTTTTCTACCATAGAATCTTACAGCTCAAAGACGGTTTCAAAACTAACATCGCTCATTTTTATTATGCAGTGTGGAAGCATGCATACAGGTCAAAGGTAGCTGTTTTTAGGCTTACCTATATTCTGCCCACAGTTTTCACCATGTGTGTATTCTTCCAAAAAAAGATAAGCTTTGAGAGGTTAAACAATTTATCTTGTCTGAACCTGAGGCAATACATGCACTGGTCATTCATTCCATCTGAAGAATTTCCCTGTTCTACCTCTTTGTGCCCTCGCTACTTCCTAGCACATTAGTTTCATTTTACAGATTTTTAATAGAATAACAAAGTAGATGTGCTGTACAATCAATATGTGAATGGAGTACAGATAACCCCTTGGAATCCACCTTCGTCAAAAAAATTTCTTTTACCTCTAATCAGGTGACCTATAACAAATACAAGTCACATTGAAGATTCCCACTATGCGAGTCTTACATTCATTAGCTCAGTAAAATGTAGACCTTGGTGGATAGGTGATGCTTCAAACTTAACCTTAGCCTGCTAGCACTAGTTGAAACTACAAACTGCACTGACCTTCCTATGATTGTATGTTGGTTTCCATATATGTTTCTATTTTTAGCATACTTTTTTTATTTTTGACTGTGAACATAACTGTAAAAGAGCAGAATGAGAAAGGATAGGAAGGATTTCGAGTGTACCTGTCACAAGCCGGTCAGAAACCGGAGCGAGGTTACATTCGTGTTCTCGGGAACAGAATTAAGACTCAAAACGGAGTCAAGCGCCCAGAGTTTTATTTGCCTAACACTAAGGTTCGCGAATGTATAGGAGAGAAAGAGAGAGAAAAACAAAAGTTACAATAGTTACCACCACGGGTCCGAGGCGTTCCGACGCAGCCCGATCACAAAAAAAAGCACAGTTAAAACAAAACCGAGAGTCAAGGCCAAGAGAAACAAAAGGGGGGGGGAGCCCTCCCCCCGCCGCGCGCAGAAGCAACAGAACGGAAAGCCAAAGCTGCCCACACCGTGCCGCCACTGGTGGTTTCTCCGCTTTTATCCTGTCCTCCCATGACATCCGCCACGAACAACTCCACCCATCACCCGGCGGTGGTACGCATGCCCAGTGCCGTCCCTAGGGGGTCTTCGATGGTCTTTGGGGGTCTTTGTGCCCCTCTGTCTTTTCAGACCCCGGGCCCAGGCGCATGCGTGGTGGTTGGGTGTCGCTCCTCCTGACGGGCTTCCTTCAATAACAGGACATGGTTGTCTGGTAGCGGAGTAGTGGCAGGCGTGGTG